TACCTCCCATGCTACTTAATCCGCACTGGTTATTTGCAGAAAAACAGTCCAGATATGTAAAAAGAGTGAAGAGTAGGTAATATTCCATTTTCTCCATTATTTTTCCTGTTTGAAAAGTTAAGAAATATTTAGGCAATTTTTAGTGAATCGAGGGAACGTAAGACGTATTTTGTACCACGCAGTGGTGTACTTTCGCATTAAATTAAACTTGTGAGAAAACATATTGAGCTATTTTCAACATCATCTCTTTTTTTAATGAATTGCAACTCTGCTTAACTTTAGTTCATTTGTTCCAATAACATTTGTATGTCATAAGTCTAAAAGAAATATACCTCTCTACATTTTTCTCATAATATTTCGGCCATAGTTGTTACATTCCATATCATACTTTCGCCTGTTCGATGGTTTTTTTCCTAAATACACTATGGACTAAACATTTCCATTTCAATTCACCCCCAATAAAACTGTCAAAAGGAACAATTCCTACCTTTCAAGCAGAAATTCAATTTCAAATCTTTGGAGCGTTTTTGATGCGGAACACTTGAAGAATTGTTTTTATAATGAAATATCGGTGGACGCACATCAGCTATAGTTAGATGATAAGCGAGTCAAACGAACACTCTCGGGAGGGAAGAAATCTCCTCAGCAAAAAATTTACTTAAATTTAGGCTTAAGCCGCTGCTTGATGGCAAACTTTAAATAATGACACTCGGCCTTTTATATCAATGTCATAATTGTGCATGAATAATACCAGAAGGTAGGTAACAAATTCAGAACAAGCCTTCCGAAAACTTGAAACTTAGCCAACGCAAATTACTTCGGTCTTCCACTGGGAGTTCGATTTCTCCTTATGAATAATGAAAATAATGGAAAAAAATTCTTACCTTTTAGAGGAAATATATTTTATGTATTCTTGGGAAAAAGTACACCTTCGTAGAGGGATGTACAATTTCATTCTGTACTAACCTATTACAGCTACCGGTGTGGTGCAAACAGGAAGTTGTGAAAAAAAAAAAACAAAATGCAAAGATGAAATTCAGTAATTTGGTCTTATTTAAGACTCAAACTCAAGTGATTGACACTATCATTGAAGTTTCTGTTTGGTACTAAACACTTCGAGACGCCCCTCCTTTAGAGACGAAATTCTAACTTAAAACATAAATTCAATTCATTTTGTAATTGATGTCTTCCTTATCTTTGCCTTCCTTGCTGCTTTAGGTCCCTCATAAGATTATTTTATGAGTTATGATTATTTTATGAGAATGATGAAAACACTAAGAAAACTGAGATCGATGGATACCTGTTTAACCCTCAATCGAATTTTTTTCCTTTCTTTTAATAAGCTCTAAAACGTTTGCAAAAAATTTACAACAAAACGGCGAACTCATGAAAACAAAATTTTTTCAATAACAGACGTTTTCCTTGTTAATGAGTATTGACACCATGTAAACAATACAATTTACCAAAATGAATAAATTAAGAAAGATGTTTTGGTAAAAAACGGACATAAGGTAGAAATTCACTTTCACTTTCCCCCGATATGAAAATTCGAACTTTTTGCCGTGGAATAGAACAAATAGAATAAATACGAACCGACGCTATTTATTCTATTCCGTGCAATGACTGTGGTCACGAGTATATCGGACAGACCAAACGTCAGTTTGGTACACGAAAGAGCATCAAAAAGTGGTCTTCTTTTGCGAAAAAGAAAATTCAGCTTTGTCGAAGCACACATGCCTAAACAACCATACAATTGGGTGGGATAAGTCTACAATTATCATCACTAATCGACGTTACCACCAGCGCCTTTGTTTGGAAGCCTGGCACATCAACTCCGCCCACGCTCTTTTAAATCGTGATGATGGCGGCTTACTTCCTGACGCCTATTTACACCTCGTCATAGTGTAGAGGATTAACAACATATCGCCTGGTAAAATCATATACTACTGTTACCGACGTAACCTACTTAAAACTGACATATTGGATTACAGGAAACGACCATTGAACATATTTAATTTTGCTTAAATTATCCGTTAATTATCCGAGTTGTCTTCCGCAGACGATTTAAAGCTACCTTTTCTTTTTTTCCTTTTCAGTGTCGGTATTAAATCATCCATAAAGGCCGGAGCTGACCAGGACAAGTCCACAGTCACTGCATGCCCAGCCTATTCTCTCAGGGACAATTGTCTTGGTTTGTGATGCATTCGTAAAGCTCTGTTCATGAATCAATTAAGTTAGAAATAAACAAATTAAATACTAGAAGGAACAAGACAAAGCATAAAAACGAAAACAAGAAAAGATTAAAAATTTTACGCAAATGAGGCAGTTTCTGCTTCATCCACGTGTTCCTTACGATCATAATCCTCTCTTTCCTTCAGCCTATTCCGGTTTCTGTCAATCACTCAACATGTCCTTCAGTCTTTCTCTGTCTGTTTCTTATCCTATCGTAACTGTTTTTCCTAGTAAATAAAAATCTCCCCTTGGCAAGTTATACCATCGCCGGTAAATTTAGGTTTACACATACACTGATATGAACCCACCATATTGGCGCATTCCCCGTTAGACGAACAACTGTGTTTTTCCAGAGCACATTCGTCAATATTTGCAAAAAGATCAATGCGAAAAAATAAAGATAACAAAATTTAATTGCTGTTGCGGTTAGTTGGTTTCTAAATCATTCATGTTTCAACCATTTTCTACCTTTGAGCAAGGTGTGTCGCTTGAGTAGGACATTTTGTGCTGATTCCTTATTCTTTACAATGAGTCGGTACCCTTGTTATTGCATGCCTGTTGGCTTTTCTAGTTAAAAACATGCCTTGGCATGTTTTACCAACACCTGTAAATCCAGGTTTACATGTACATCCGTGTGAACCCATAACATTAAGAAAGTTGCCATCACAGGAATAATCGTCTTTGGCTAAGGCGCATTCGTCAAAATCTATTCAAGATCCACGAAAACGAAAGAAGTATGAAATTCCGTATAATCTAATTAATCCTTTCTCTTCCGAAAGCCCGTCTCCCTCTGCATTCAAATCACCCGGTCAGGTCCTCCAGAATTATATTTAATTGATCTCAGCACGAAACTTACAACATTATTCGTTTAGTTTCTGTTCTTGCTCTAATATCAGTTATCCAGAATTTATACTGTCCCAAAAATATTTCATTTGTACTGTCTCAAAACATTCATTATTCATTTATTTTCTAGTAAATTATATCTAATTGATCTCAGCACGAAACTTACAACATTATTCGTTTAGTTTCTGTTCTTGTCCTAATATCAGTTATCCAGAATTTACAATATCACAAAAATATTTCATTTGTACTATCTCAAAGCACCCATTATTCATTTATTTTCTCATGTTGCTCAATGATCCATTTTTCAGGATTTGCCGCGTCACGACAATGCTCCATTGATATCATTCCTCATCAAGAGAACATCAAGAGAGTATCAATTGAATATCAACAGTTGATATTCTCTTGCTCCTCATATCATCTTGGATGAGATCATTCATTTAATAAGATTACATTTAACTTTATTTGCCCCAACTTAGGGGATTTTAATTCCTTTGACAACTTTTAACGTTCCTCGTGAGATCAGATGTGAAACAAATCTCACTGTACTTGCTCCTTGCCATGTTATCGGAGGGTCGAATTTCACTGATGTAAAGGCTTACCTTGGCAGTTTTTCTCATCTTTAGTAAATCCATGCCTACATGTGCACTGATATGACCCCACAACGTTAGCGCAGTCGCCGTAAAAGGAACAATCGTCATTATTTATGGTAAATTCGTAAAGATCTATCCATACAACGAAGCACAGGATATATAAAAGTTAATAAAATATAAAAAGGATAAAAAATGTAATACATTGGAGGTGGCATCTGCTGTATCCGTGATAGTCCGCCACCTTTTCGTCTACTAAGTTCTTTCTCACGAAGCTCCTTTTGCTCTCTCTCTCTCTCTCTCTCTCTCTCTCTCTCTCTCTCTCTCTCTCTCTCTCTCTCTCTCAGGCCTGTTTCAGTGTTCGTCAATCTCGCTACATGTCCATCAGAACCAGTTTTTTAAAGGACAGATAAAAGGCGTTGCTATACAACGGATAAATCGTTATCCAGACGATAAGTAATAACGAAACCTACTGCGCTACACGTCGGATAGCAATTTATCCAGTAGATAGTGTTATCATCTCTTTAAAAAAACCAGGCTGAACGTCTCTGTCTGTGTCTCCCTCTATCGTTACTGTTTGTCTAATTGAATAAGAATCATAAGGGGCTAAAAGGCAAGCCGTAGCCATGTGAACAGCTCGTCTCCGATACAAAACTATTTTTTTTAATTGGCCATCTCGAATCTATGGATTAAAAAATGGTAAAGTACTTCTAAATATTCGATTTTTTTAATTCATTTTTGGCAATTCTACCATTCAAATAGCGCGTATACCATTCAAAATGAAAATTACTCAGAATTACTAGAACTGAACAAAATGCGAGCTCGAAAGAGACCGACAAACATGTGGAATTTATTCAATCCGTCTTCTGTTATCATTCCCAAATAACAGCCGTGACTGAAATTAATTGGAACTTGGTTACATATCACATGATATGATAAAGTAATCACATGATGATAAATTTAAGAAGGTCTGTTAATTTTTAAAATGTTAAATGAA